CTGATCATTCACATGAACTTATAGGCCCATTGTCTGCCAACCCTATATATGATCTTGGATACACTCTCCATTTAGACATACCTAATTGTTTAGCTGACACAAGAAAATTTTGCTGAAGATAAGTCAGAAACAGTTGCTGCAGTACATCAACAGGGAATTGCCAGAAATTCAAGCCAGATTTAGAAGAAGACACGGGGTGAAGGATATCATTATTGATGTCAGATGGATCTGGACTGAAAGCAGAGAACCCCAGAAAGATGTTTCCCTCTGTTTTATTGACTGTGCAGAGGCCCTGGACTGTGTGGATCATAACAAACTATGAATAACATTCCAAAGAATGGGAATTCTAGAACACTATTATACCCATGAGGAAACTGTACATAGACCAAGAGACAGTTGTTCAAACAGAACAAGGATATGCATGGTTAAAATCAAGAAAGGTGTGCAACAGGGTTGTATCCTTTCATCATACTTACTCAATCATCATACTTATATGCTGAGCAAACAGTCTAAGAAGCTGGGTTATATGAAGAACGTCATCAGCATCAGGATTAGAGAATGACTCATTAACGACCTGTGATATGCCACGATACAACCTTGCTTGCTAAAAGTGAAGAGGACTTGAAGCATTTACTGTTGAAGATGAAAAACTACAGCCTTCAGTAAGGATGACAAACTCAACATAAAGAAAACAAAAAGCCTTACAACTGGACCATTAAGCCACATCATGATAAATGGAGAAAATACTGAAATTGTCCCAGAGTTGGGATAGGGTGACTTTGGAGTGACGACACTGGAGAAAGCAGGGCCTCATCTTCACATGTGACAACTCTGATTGGGTAACAGTAATCATAGTGATCTTCTTCAACCATAAATCACATGGTATCCTCAGTGGCTTCCATTTAAACTCCATCCCAAGGCCTATGAATGAAGAGCCTGCATGAGCCAGCCCCTGCCTGTCTCTCTAACCCCACATCCCACCATTTGCCCCCCTCCCTTGTTGTTGTGTGCCCTTGAGGCAATACCAACACATAGAGACCATATATGACACAGTGGAAATGCCCCATGAGGGTTTTCTAGGCTTTAGAGTGTACATAAGTGGTATTGATTACCTTCTTCAAGTTGTGCAACTATTCCTACCCTCCTTCTCTAAGTTGTTCCTCCCCCATTAAACTCTCAGCCCCCTAAAATTCCTGTCTTATCTTTCAAGTTATTGATGTCAATTTGATCCTCTATAGATAGCTCTTAAAAAAAAAAGCATAACGCTCAAGGCTGACTTTCTTTCCTTGTTAAGCTAAACTAATTGGTTGGTTTTAAGACGACTTCAGGGGATACTTTGCTTTAAACATTATCTCAGGGCAGTAGTTTCAAGGGTTCATCCTGCCTCCATGGCTCCAGCAAATCTGGAGGACATGAGAATTTGACATTCTGTTTTGCATTTTCCTCCATTTCATCAGGATTCTTCTATAGAATCTCTGATCAAAATGTTGAGTAATGGTAGACGAGTACCATTTATGTAACTTTAAGTCCATCAGAGCATGGTGTGTTAACTCACCTTTACTTAGAGAAATCCAGTTGATTTATCTAACTAATGCCTACAGAGTACTCACTGTCTGTCAGGGATTGCTTCTCAAGAGCTTTTTTTTTTTTTTTTTAACTACTTTGTTTTCATAGCATCTCTATGAGGTAGGCATTATTACAGTTATATTATTACAGTGTCCGTTTATCCAATGGGAAAGTGAAGTGACTTGCTCAAGGTGATATAGCTAATAAGTGATGGGGGCAGGATTTGAATCCAGGCTCTCTGGCTCCAGAGTCTAAGATTTTAACAACCTCCTACCGATATTAACAAACCTAGTAAGATGCAGGGGCCTTGCTTTGCCTCATGTGTTCTTACTTTCTTCCCCTTGTGCAGCTATGAGTCTGGTTAAACAGGTCATGATTCTCCCTTCTCTTTAGAGAAAGTCACTCTTCTGGCTGAAGCATCCATTGTGGAGGGGAACATTGGAAGAAGTTTCCCAGATTGTCTCTCCTTGTTTGACTCCATGCCTGGAATTATTACACTATCCATTTCAGAAATCTCTAAGCTGTGATTAGTTTTGGCTCAGTGTTCACCAGCTGGATCCGAGCGAATGGAACATAGGACTAGTGGATTTTAGTGGGGAAAGAGGTGGAGGTGAAGAGGTGAAAGTTTGGAGCAGAGGGAATCCTGACTGGGGAGCTTGCTGGAAGTGGGGCTCTGCATTCCTGAATGTTCAGTCAGTGAGGCAGTCAGTCAACAAGCATTTCCCAGGTTGCCTCTGTGCCAGGCTCTGAGGTCTATCCCGAGTGGACAAAGCCCCTTCCTCGCTCAGAGGGTTCCCTGTTGCTGCCAATGGCTGAAGAGTAGCACTTCATAGGAGTAACAGATACTCCAAGAACCTAGAACTTCAAGGGAGGGATAGAGTCTACCCTGGGAAATTAGGGAAAGCTCCCCAGAGGAGGCAAGCAGGCCAGCTCTTTGCTTACCTATTTATTGTTCAGGTGATGGTGGGAGAACTGCAGGAAGAGGGCAAAAGGCCTGGAGAGCAGGTAAAAATCAACTCTGTGCATATGTACCTGGATATACGGAAATGCATGAAAACCTGCCAAGGCCTGTTGTTGACAGAAGCTTTTAAAACTGGCCAGTGCCTCCCGTCACCCTCAGAATAACACCCAAGCCCTCACTGTGCCCTAAAAGGCCCTGCCCTACTCTCCACCCTTATCTTCCTCCAGCCGTACCTCCCTTATTTATTCAAAATAATCGAACGTTCTCTCTTTTTCTTCTTGCTTAGAGCCCATCGACCCTTCTGGACGATGAACTCCATGAAGGCAAGGATTTTTGTCTTTTTGGTTGTGTCCCCAGCACCTAGGACAGTGTCTGGCACACAGTTGTTGTTGTTACGTGCCGTCGAGTCAGCCCCGACTCATAGAGACCCCTCCTTGGGTTTCTGAGGCAGTGTCACTATGGAAGTAGATTGCCCAACCTTCCTCCCGGGGAGTGGCTGGTGGGTTTGAACCACCAGCCTTCTGGTTAGCAGTCAAGTGATTTAGGCACTACGCTACCAGAGCTCCCTTGGCACACAGTAGGTGTTCGATAAATATTTTTAAATTAATTAAATCAATATAAATGTATTAGCATCTTACTTGACCAAAATAAAAAAAAAAAGCTATTTGATATTGAGCAGGTGAGAGATGATAACCTGAGGCCATTGGATCAGTGGGGATGTGAAAGGAAGGACAGAAGGGGGGGGGGAACCTGGACCTCACTTTTGCCAGAGAGGCAATGGGGAGGGGGGTTTAGGGCTTGAGATGGGCCCTGGGTCTCTGAGGTGCCCTGGAAAGAGGGGCATGGAGTCTGAGAGAAGAGTGGGTGCTCTGTGTGGGACATTGGCTCAAGCTGCACTGTGCAAGGGGGAAGGAAAGAGAAGGGGGCGTAGTCATGACAGGAGAGGAGTATTTAAGTGGTTGGCAGTGTTCCATGAGAGGAGATGAGCTTTGAACAAATATATACATACACACACACATATACATATGTGTGTGTGTGTGTGTGTGTATGGGAGCGCTGGTAGTGTGGTGCCTAAGGCACTTGACTGCTAACCAGAAAGCTGGTGGTTCAAACCCACCAGCCACTTCTCAGAAGGAAGATGGGGCAATCTACTTCTGTAGTGATACTGCCTCCGAAACCCAAGGAGGGGTCGCTATGAGTCAGGTTTGACCTGACAGCACATAACAACAACAACATATATATGTATATGTGTATATATATACACGCATATATACATACACACACACACACATTTATATATATATATATTTAATTCTTTCCAATTTGGATGCCTTTTCTTTTTCTTGCATAATTGCTCTGGCCAGAACTTCCAGTACAGTGTTGAATAGCAATGATGAAGGTGATTATTAATTTCTCCTTCCTAGTCTTAGGGAGACAGCTTTCAGTTTTCACCATTGTTTATGATGTTAGATGTGGGTTTTTTGTACACGATCTTTACCGTGTCAAGGAGGTAACCCTTCTGTTTCTACTCTGTTGGATTTTTGTTTTATTTTAATAATTTTCTATTGTGTTTTCAGTGAAGGTTTACACAGCAGGTTAGATTTCCATTTAATAATTTGTACACAAATTGTTTGTTCAGTGACATTGGTTACATTCTTCACAATGCATCCTCCTAGCAATCATGTGTCACTCCATGTCTATGACATGTTCTGTGAAATAGGGCATTATGTGATTTGCACATTGTGCAAACACTGTTATTACGTACAGTCTCCAGATTATGAATGAGTTCCACTCCTAAATCTGTCTTTAAGTAGAATTTGTACATAAATCAGAACAGCTAGGTACATTGTATCCAACGTCAGTCAAATGTTTGTCTTAGTATATAGTGTATACTAGCGTTTTGACGTATGTCGCAAAGTTGTGCCCATTCATTATTATGAACCATTGTTGTTGTTGTTGTTATGTGCCATCGAGT